GAAGAGTCTAGTAATACTTATCCTGCTCAGAGTTCAGTTTCAGAGCCTGAAAGTAAGGTCCATTCCAAAGTCTCAGAAGGAACAAAAACCCAAGCCTTAAAAGCAGTTGCACAAAATAAAATTCACTTTGGAGGAAAAAGGAAAAAAAAAGTTTTACAGAAATATTTTTGATAATTTTCAATTAATTTTTTTTTTCAATCTACCCGGTTAGGTAGTCCAAGATTCTCAAACTCTATCTTATCATGATTGTAAATCCCTCCCAAGAAACAAAGCCTCAATGGGAGCCAAATGGATGCACAATATCAGCTTTAGGAACTCCACTGTATATAGCACAAGAGATCTGCAGTAGAACTCGAGAAGCGGTGCTGCACACATGCCGTTCACCACTGGATTGCTACGCTGTTTGGGATGGTGATGATATTTCCAGACCAACTTTCTCATTCAATGCCTCAAAAAAATATACAGCTTGCGTCTCTTCCAGAGCAATAACAAGTATTAGAAAATGAGAGAAGCACCATAATTCACAAGAAATGCAGCATGGACCCTATATATTTTAACAATACAGAAAACCATCTCTCTGCCACCACTCAAAACATACTAAGTCCTTTGACAGTCTACTGGAGTGAAGTTGTTGGTGCAGAGTTGGGATTCCTTCCTGCTGTGCAGCTTCTTGGTTATGAACAGATCACCAATAATAGCAGCTTTTAGTAGCCAAACCAGGGAAAAACCATCAACACAAGTCAAGGCTGTTTGTTGTTTTCAGCTCCAGAATAGTTTGATACTTTAAATTTAGAGTCCCACGTTCTGTTTTGTTTTTAACACCGCATTGACCCAAAGTACAAATGCGGCGGGACTCTGTAGGACAGGGGAGAGGAGGGAAGAACGTTGTAACTATAGTCATGTGGTTAGTGTTTAAATTCTAAAATTTAAAACTACTTGTTATTAAAAACCTCAAGAGTTCACAGCTATAGGCCTACATAGTAAGCAAACTGTGGGAAAAAGATGGAGAGAAGTTTGTTTTTGCATCTCTGGATAAATTAAAGAGGAGAGAGTGGATTTGACAAAGATCTTGTCTTGCACCAAGTATGCTCCTCAAGCTCTGGGCTCCCTTGGCTAATTTTACCCCTCCTCTCCTTTTGCTGGAAGACACCATCACCGCTGGCTTGTGTGCATGGAGTGGTGGTATTCCTCCAATTCATGTGGACGCTGGTTCATGGTGCTGCACCTTTCTCTCTCCTCAGGAGAGGATGGCATTAGAACGGCGGATACCAACTAAATTATCAGCACTGAAAGATCGTCTCATAGCAGCTTTTGACAAGTCTTTGTATTTATCTTCACACAGCCGGGAGATAGCCTGGGTATCACGTTCAGAAACAAAAGTACACATTAGAAAAGCTGGAACATTTCAAGGAAGTTTTTACAAAGCATCATACGAACAGCACAGGCACTCTGCAGCTGTGGTACTATTGGGTTTTTTACGTACAAAGTCAGAAAAGAACTACCACTTTGGCAGAAAAGTATTAAGGGGGTCTCTCCTCATGCTATCAAGAACCTTATCCGTTAGGAATCAAGACACTGAAAAGGTGAGTCTCATTACCTAATGGAAAACTTGGATCCATTTCAGACTTACGAGTTCATGTAAGTTATGTTCCAAATTGTACCTAGTAGTTAGGTCTGGTGTTTGGGCTTCTAACAGCACTAAAATGCACATAGGCATTTATGAGAGAAAAGGCTCAAGCCAAAATGGTTTCTGCACTCCCACAAGAACCCTGCCCTTGGTCACTTGGTACAAGTGAGCGCAGAAAACAGAGGTGTATGAGAGGGCTCTATTTTCCCTTTACCATCTCTACACCTTCTCCTCCAGGCTGCTTTTTCCACCAAAGACCACTCATGTAGTCAGGTCAAGAAGGGAGGGCAGCTCTCTGCTCAATGGCACGGCAATAGCTGGGGCATTAATACAGCTATTACATATCCACACATGTGGACAACTTCGTATTTAACCGTTTTTTCAGCCACTTACTGGCTTACCCCTGCTCTGCTCTGCTTATTTAGCTAGTCAAGCTGCCTTTATTCTGGTGCAGCCTTTTTAGTGCCAGCCTAATTATTTCCCGTATAACACACGATTGTGCAGAAAACGGTGCGTGTCCTCTCCTGCAGAGCCCATTTCTGACTGAAGCTTTCAGACACAATCAATGCAAATAAATAAGGATACCAGTAATAAAAGGCTGAACTGAATTTCAGTCCTGAACATTTACTGCCATTAATAATTTACCATCTATCAGGAGACAAACTTTCAGAGTGCTACAATCAGCTACAAGTCTACACCTTCCCTTTAAGGCAGCACCCATTCAGCACAACCCAGTGTTCTGGAAGTTCAAGAGGTGAAAAAGCACTCTGAGCATGAATAAACCCCTAAGTGTATTTTAAAATAATTATTTACATTTATTTCTGCCGACCTTCTGGAGGCATGCATTTGGCTCAAGAGTGGCATTCTTTAAGACACTGGCTGTATGAGCTCCTGGTGCAAGACCAGACAGACTCTCCATCCTGTTTTAATGCTAGCACATCAATCATAAGGCAACCTGTGTTGACATATTTAGCCCCAGTCACCCATATGTTATAAATCAGTTTTCAGCCCCTGGAATACTAATTCACTGCTTCACAGAGGTGCCTATCTGCTCCTCAAATACTTCTAACAGAAAGGTAGAATTAAAAAGTTTAGCAAATGGTTTAAATATTTATCACGTTTTAGAATTAAAAACCAAAGTGACCTATGTATGCACATCAGGGAGTGTGTTACGGCAAAGCGCATGCTGTAGGGAAAATTACTCTGCTTTTAAACACCAAGCCCCCAAATGTTAGCAAAGAAACAGGCTTACAACCTGTAAATCATCCGCTTATGCCACAGGCTCTGAGCAGTTCAGTAAACAATTTCCAGTGGAATATGAACTGCCCTACAACCACATTTACAATTAATGACAGTGTTAGCTTAAAGTGTGAGTAACAAGGGTGAAACAAAGCAGAAGAGCTGCGTTGCTTCACTTTAAATAGAGGAATTTGTAGGCATATCATACCTATCATTCCAAAGGACAAGGGGGGATAAGGCTTCTTACCAAAGTTCAACCACCTCTGGGTGGAAATAGAAAAACTGGCGCTTGGCAGAATTACTGGAGGTGGGCAACAGAACAATATAAGCCAATAATCCTGCAGAACGCCCCTGTCTGAATGGGGCATCAGTGTACATGGGGCCCATGTTTAATGTCTTTGTTGAAAGGTCAACAAAAACACGTATGCACGGCTGTCAACTGACAGTTGAAAGGCTGCATGAGTCAAGAGGAAAGTTTTGCCTAGGAACCCAGGTAATTTAGGTATTTTCCAAATGTCTTACGTGTCTCCACCAACTAGCAAGAAAGTTCAACGCTGCTTAAGTTCTTTAACACGAAGCCGCCACGTGAAAGAACGCCGTGGGGACTTGCACCAAGGCAGCCTTCTCCATTTAGCAAAAAGGGCCAGTCATCTGTATTTACACTCCTCTGGGCATGCTGAAGCATTCCTAAGAAGCAACTATTCTAAAAGTTTGTCTCAAAATAACATTTCTTTGGAAAGGTGAGTTCTGAAGTTTGTGAAAAATAACATTAATTCTGCAGCTGTCCCCCTAACAAATGGTTTATTAAACCGTGAGAGCAGCAAGAGCACTCCCTCTAGATTTAAAAGCAGCTGTGCAGTGGGATGCAGTGGGAAACCTTCAGCTGGTAGTATTTAGAAAGGTCCAAGTGTGACTGTCTCTCAGTGCTCGGAATACAGACTGTGAGCAGGGAAAGACAGACAATCCATTACATATGACACTATTCTTTCAATCTTCAGTAGCCTAGCTGAACTATAGTTCCTCATATAACACCCACTTTATGCAGTGATCTGCTAGACTTCCACTCCTTCCTCAGAGAACTAACTGAGCCTAGGCATGGTTTTAGAAGTGCTAGCTGCAGCCAGAAAGGGGTTCAATCAGCCCGTAATACACTAATCTAAAAGCTTTTTGGTTTTTCTAACTGCCACTTACTATGATTAGCAACAGACGCTCCTAGTACACACACACACACACACACACATGCAACAGTCCCCTGCTCAGGCAACCTCAGACCATTACCTCCAGTTTCTGTGCTCTCTCTTTACTAAGAGGCTCCAGCAGAAAGCTCAGGTTATTGTCATCTGCTAGGGAGCGAAGATCGAAGTAGTATTTGGCGTAAACACTGGCAGGAACATTGATATTAAACTGCAGTAGCTCCAAGAAGTGTCTTTCCATCTCGTTCCTAGGAGGGACAGAGAACAAAAGAAAAAAAATAGTGCTTTAGCCGGGGGAAAAAAAAAACCAACAACAAAAAAGCTAACAGAACAACTGGAGACCTCTAGGCTATTTATAAAACCAGCAACTTTGAACTAGTCATCGAGAGGCCTGTATTATTCATTTCAAGAGATGGTTCATTCACTGGTGCTCGAAACAAGGTGCAGCTTTTGGGTCCTGGCACTTTCAGCTGGGAGAGAAAGGTAGTGCCCTGTCGTGCACTCGCAGGGCTGACCAGGAGGCTCATTCTTCAGAGTTCCATTAGTGCAGCTGTACAATTCATGCGCCATTCTCACTCTCTCGTACAGCCCCACGCTATAGTGATCAGATGAAAGGAATGATGTATGCTGTTTATTAGCTCTGAAGAACTTACAGACATTTTCACCAGGCTGATAACAGGAAGGGGGTTTATTGAAGTAGAGTTGGACTAACAAAAGCAGTAGGCAGATCACCACGGCAACAAATGGATCTATGAAGAGCTGCTGCTATTATCTCACAGAAAAAAGCCTCTTGAAGCAACATGGATTCATCTCCAATAAATAAATAAATAAGCAGCATTAGGTGGCAGAAGGAATTTTCTCCTCAATAGCATTAGGCAGGATAACAAAGTACTGTGTTAAAGGGTGCCATTCGGTTTTTACTCACTCGTCTGTTTTCACAGGGCAAAATATTTGGAGGAAAGTGAGGAAAACGCTGTGCCACAAAAAAAGGCCATTTCAGCTACTGTACTGTGGTCAGCTAAAACAAGTTTTTCCTGATGTAAATAAAATCAACCTGGAAGAAATGAGTTGGTACCCAAACCACTGGGAACAGACCTTCACCTACAGAATCTGACGACTCTGTAAGCTGGTCAACTGCAAACACACGAGGGAGTAAGGGACACTGATTCAACGGGAGCTTTTAAAATGGATGTTTTACCTGTTAGAAGAGGGAAGTAAATCAAAGAACCATCCAGGTTGTGTCCTGTACTGGATGATGGGTGTCAATATCAATAGCAGCTTTGTGCTTGTTTCTAGTATAGTGGACTTGAGTACCATTGAACCTAGTGCCAAAATTAATTTCCTGTTCATATGGTCATAAGCCTATAGAAATGTAAATCAGATAATGTTTTGATGATCAGCTGATCAGAGCTTGATTTATCTGTGAATAAATGCTCTTCACTGCACCTTTTGTACTCACTACACTAGTTTAATTGTATAAAAATACAATTCTTCATTGGATTAACAAGTCTATTTATAGTGGTTTAAAACCTGGGAAAGCATAATTCCCATGTGTTTCCTGTGCTTTATTTACAAATATATGTGTCTGAAAGAATGAACAGCATGTGTCCCCTTAACAAGCAATCATAGCAAGATTAGCAGCTGCACAGTTAATTTTTCAGTGATTATGGATTCATTCTCATCAAAGCAAGCAAGTTTTGACAAAGGATGACTTCCAAATATCAGTTTAATTTCCTTCTTTTTCTTCCCATAGGAATATGCAAATAAAACCAAGCCAAAAACCCTTTTCAGTAAAAAACAAAAAACAAAAACAAAAAACAAAAACAAAAAACAAAAACCCACTGCAAAACTACAACTACAAAAGCTGGCAATTAAGCACAGTGCCAACCATTAATTGAAGGTAGTATTATAAGCTTAAAACTCAGTTTTGCGGAGTATTTATTCTAAGCAGTTTTCCAGGGTTCTGTCTGTGGTAAAATTACCCAATCTGAGATGTGTGAACTCTGCCCTGCTGCAGCAGTGCAGGCCTGGCTGGGCACCCCGGACACTGTCAGAAGGGGTTGTGCAGTTTCTGGACAAACCTAAACTCAAAGGTGGAAACCATTTCAAATTAGATGGGATCACAGAAAAAAAAAATCCAAACTGAGGAGAAGCAGCAGCCTCAAGTCTTTTTTTTCCCTACCACCACCACTGCTTTGAAAACGTAAGTACCAACAATTTCAGGAGACCCAGCACCAGCAATAGACAATAAGCATCCTGCTTATTACAGATGTTTCAGTGCTATCAGTTTGATTTATTCCAAGGAGGACTAGAAGAAGACACATCAAAAAGAGCAAGATGTATACCCTGGCACTCCCAGCACCGCTGACCTCACTTCAGCCATCTCAGAGCTATTTGCAACAACGCTTCAAGTGTGTTCCTCAGAAGATAAGCACTTGAGCCAGGTTGAGTGAAGATGCACATTGTATAAAATCACTAATTATGCTTTCCTGAAAGCATGGCTGCATAGCCCTGGTTTTGGAGACAAAGAACTCCCAGATAAGGGGTACCTATAAAACAAGATGCTATGTTTCCTGTCGCTGTTTGCAAAGCAAAATAATTTGAAAAACCAAGAACTCTTTTGGAAACTAAAAATGGGAGAGTTTTCTGTAAGGAAGAGCACATTCTTCTTACTAAGGAGTCCTACATAAATGCTGTATTTTAAACGTTAGCTCTAAGCTGAATCTAGAGAAGAAAACTTTGGGCAAGGGCAGAATATCTGACATGGGGAGCCTACCAGTGCTATGTGCAAATTGCTACTGCCTGTTTGCTCCTGTACTAGAACTGACTTGTACAATGTAGGCCTGGACACACAGTCAATCACAGTGTGATAAAACTCAGAAACACACAGGGTATTTAATGAAGTTTAACAAAGCCCGAATGAATGATACCAAGCTAACCTAGTATTTCTACCACCGTCATAAAAGAAATGCAGAAGGAAGCAGAGAGAAATTAACTGAAAGGAATTTAACTGAAAATATTATGGGCCAAATATGCTTCCCACAAACATAGCCATAGCACTTGGCACAGAGCCACCATGATGTACCTCTGAACATCCTCTGAAACTGCAGAAACTATAGGACTTAAAGCTGACTTCATAAAGAAAAAAGAGTGGATTCCAAAGTTATCAAAAACTGGAACCTGTGTCTGAGACAAGAATATGTACAAGAAACAGCTCTACTTGAACAAGCAGTACTAAGATTGAGCATTTTGTTCCCAGCATTGTAGGCAAGTCTAAGAACACACTTGACAAAGAGGACCTGTCGCAGTAGTTGGATGCAAGACACACAGCCACAGATACTAACAGAAATGACACTTGTCTTCCAAGAGCATCAGCTAAGAATTCAGACCTTGAAATATTTATGCATTGGCTGGATGTAGGGGCAGACACTTAAGTCACAAGTTTCAGCTTCCCTTGCAATTTTTCTAATTCTAAGCAAAAACGCATGAAATGATAACTTTTATTTTCCAAAAAGATTTTTTATAAGACTTAAAAACTGGGCTCTTAAAGAGTTCTGCCAATGCAAAGCTGCAAGTCCCATGGCTCATCGCTGGGGGAACGATGTTAACAAAAACTAACTTTGAAGTTGCTCACCTCAGTAGTTAGAAACGATAATAAAGATTTGTCTCAAAGACAGCTGAAGCATAGTTCCCTAGGTTAAAAAGAGGCAATGAAGCCTGGCACCAGAGATGCACTGTGTGTATCCTGTAGCACCAGAGAGAGGCATTCAACATAGCACTATCAGGACAACTGCTGTTTAGAAAACATCGTAGATTTGTAAAAACTTGCAACTTACATGTCCTCAACAGTAATGTCCTTCAATATTTGGCAGTAATCCACATTCCAAACAGCCTGATCATCCCAGACTTTAGAAGCCAGCAGAATAGCTCCTAAGACTATCCTCTTCCAGTTACTAGGGCAGATGTCAATCTCTGCATAGGTTAAAAGCCTTTCCAAGTAAACCTGTTAAAAAAAAAAACAGTTTTACATGTGGAATCAAGAGTTGAAGCTGATTTCTGAACAAACACTCCAGTCAAATATAACCATGTTATCCCATTATCATTAACTGTCTAAAAGAAATTATTGGTGATAACTACATAGGTTGTTTTGAAAATAATGCCTCTTACTTATTTCCAAGGAAACTACAAAAGATGCAAAGGGCACCACAACGCTGTTTGATAGAGCAAATTCTCAGCTACAAGATACTATTTTTCAATACAGTCAGCACCATGAGCTATGTGTCTTCTCCAGCAATTAACAGGAGGCTGTGTGCTGTGCTTGTGAAAATCTGCACCAGCAGATGTGACCCAGTGTTGCTACTGCTGAAACGCACCACCCACTGCCTCACTGTGCTCACATCCACTGTCTGGTCTCCATAAATGCTCAGTGAGCACTGAGGATCGCCAGTGGGTGGTGGTTTTTCCGCATGGAGCAATTCAGTAACACATCTTTGCTCCATTCACACTTCCCTGTCAGATGCCATTTGGTCAGACTGCCCCTCTGTGGCTGTATGTCACACACAGCATGCAGTGGAATATTGGTGGGAAGCTTCAGCCTCTAATGCCATACCTCTAAGATTTGCCTCTGATGTCATGGGCCAACAGAATAAAACAGCAGGCACTGCTTTTGGAGCAGTCATTGTATTTACACTTCAGAATCACAACTTTCAAGAGCAACAGGTTCCTAGTTTTGTTGTTCCGTTACCTAAACCAGGTCAAAGGTCCCAGTGAAACCTCAGATAACCTGGTGGGTACAGGAAGCTGTTGTGCCCATAGGTCTATGGGCAGCATCAACCCCTACTTACCAGGGCTTCCCTATGCTTTCTTCCCATCTTTTGCTTACAGTCTTCGAGAGGATTGAAAGCATTCCCGTAATAACAGAGCCATCTAGTGGTAAAGACCACTTTAAAAAACAACTCCATTTTTAAAATACTTTACATGTCAAGATTGCCTGGTACCATCATCCCATTCTGTCAAATTGCTCGCATGTCTTTGGAAAAGCAGAAGGTGAGCCTGCTTAATTGCCACACTGTCTTTTGGTGATAGTTCTTTTCTGTTCTTTTCAGACTGTTCTGCAGACAAGCCACAATGAAGACTGAAGTCTAGTATGCAACAAAGCACAGTTTAAGAGACCTTCTAATGCAGTGATTGTATCGGCTGTGTTTTTTCCCTTTCCCTTCAGGTATTTATGTGTATGTGTGTGTGTGTATACGTGCAGGCATATAAACACATGTGTCTGCATAAAGATCAGTACTTTTTATACCCATCTCGCTTTTGGAAAGCAAACAACACACTGTGGTGAGATGATTTTCTCTTACTACTATTCTCAATTTCCACGCACCTCCAGTCACATGGGGAAAATGGTCCAAAAAGAAAAAAAAAAAAAAAGAAAAAGAAAAAGGGAGCAGACAGAAAGGTGTCTGTGACTGAAGGACATAATAGTAAGAAAAGTTGATCTCCTGGAATTCCTGCGCTATTGACTCTCAGCTCTTAGGGCATGCTGTTTGCACTGTTCCAGTTAATACAAATTCTAACGTGCACCCTGTACCACAGAAATAAAACATGACTTTGTGTGTGATCTTAATACACCCCACTGTTCATGGTATCTCATGTTCTGCCAATCTCGAGCTTCTTCAGTGAGTTATATATTTTATGAATTTAATAAATATCTGATTGGACAAGTAATTAAGTATTACACATTCAAATACAGGAAAGCTAAGATCCTTTTAAGTTATCCACTTCTGTAACTACTTGGAAATATTTTCTAATGAACTTGTCGTATGGCGTCTTCATTATTAACATGGTTTCATAAGATAGTGTAATATCTCAGTGCAGCCCAGTTCATTCACTGAGGGGAAAGGCGTCTTCCAACAGCTTAAGACTCAGTCATCAAGCATCTCTTACCAGCGTCACTATTGCACATTCAGCTGTCAGCTGTGCAGCGCTGAAGAGCGTCCGAACAAAGCGGTAGATGTGCTTGTGATCAGGGTCATGCTTGTAGTAGTCATCCGGAACTTCTTCCCGCTGAAATAAAGTCCTCTGAATTACTGAAAGTTTGTCTTACTACTAACCGAGAAGAGCAGTCACACACAGTTACTTCTTCTGAACAAGCAGAAGCTTATGCAACCTTTCCCATCTAAGTGGCAAAACAAAATCATACACTGAAAGAAACAAATAGCATTGCAATGTTATGAATGTTAGAAATGAACCTAAAAACACAATAGCTTCGGCTGATATATTTGTTGTCAACACTATTTGGATATGTAAGGCTAATGGGAAAGAGCATGAAAAGTCTTCACAGGACATTTTCTTGAGATATTCCAGGAAGATAACAAAGGTAACGAACAGCTAGATTCAATTCTGATGTGATGCTAAGCTGCTTCTAAATACAGCAAAGAATACAAGCTTAGAAATACATTAGTCTGTAAAAGCAATGCTAAAATGACTGTTAAGCAATATCAAGGCCCCAGAAAGAAAGACTGTGCTCTCTCCAGAAATCTAATAGTGATCTTAGACCTAAAAACCTGTCAGAAAAAGAGACGAGAACAAGATACTGAAATTGAATCACAGAATTGTTCAGGTTGGAGAAGACCTTAAAGATCATTAAGTCCAACCAGAACCTAACCATACTACCCTAACTCTTAACAACCTTCCACTAAATCATGTCCCTGAGCACCACATCCAAATGGTTTTTAAACATATCCAGGGATGGTGACTCAACCACCTCCCTGGGGAGCCTATTCCAGTGCTTAACAACCCTTTCTGTAAGGAAGTTTTCCTGATATTCAACCTCTACCTCCCCTGGCGTTGCACCATTGAGGTTGGCGTTGAGGCCATTTCCCCTTGTTCTGTCACCAGTGAGAAGAGACCAACCTCATTTTCACTGCAATCACCTTTCAGATACTGGAAGAGAGCAATAACGTCTCCCCTCAGCCTCCTCTTCCCCAGACTAAACAGCCCCAGTTCCCTTGTAGGCCGCATTCTCCAAGCCCTTCACCAGCCTTGCTGCCATTCGTTGGACCTGCTCCAGCACCTCCATGTCCTTTCTGTACTGAGACACCCAAAACTGAACACAGTACTCAAGGAGAGGCATCACCAGTGCCGAGTATAGGGGCAGGATGACTTCCCTGGTTCTGCTCACCACACCACTCCTGATACAAGCCAGGATGCCACTGGCCTTCTTGGCCACCCAAGCACACTGCTGGCTCATATTCAGCTGACTGTCCATCGGTACACCAAGGTCCCTTTCCATCAGGCAGCTTTCCAGCCACTCCTCCCCACGCCTGTAGGGTTGTCTGGGGTTGCTGTGACCAAAATGCAGGACCTGAAACACTTGGCCCTAGTGAAACTCATACAGTTTGCCTTGGCCCATTGATCTAGTCTATCCAGGTCCCTCTGTAGTGCCTCCCCTCCCGCAGATCAAAACTCTCTCCCAACTTGGTGTCGTTTGTGAACTTATCGAGGGTGCACTCAATCCCCTCATCAAGATAATTAATAAAGATGTTACATAGGAGTCCCCCAATATTGACCCCTAGGGGACACCACTCATGACCAGCAGCCAACTGGATTTAACTCCACTGACCACAACTCTTTGGGTCCAGCCATCCAGCCAGTGTTTCACCCAGCAGAGTATAAGCCCATTCACACCATGTGCAGCCAGCTTCTCCATTAGGATGCTGCTGGGGACAGTGTCAAAGGCTTTTCTGAAGTCCAGGTAGACCACATCGACCTTACCTTCATCCACTAAGCAGGTCACCTTGTCATAAAACGAAGTCAGGTTTGTCAAACAGGATCTACCATTTGTAAACCCATGCTGATTGGGCCCGATCCCAAGATTATCCATTCCATAACCTTCCCTGGCACTGATATGAAACGATAGGTCTGTAGCTACCAGGATCATCTTTCTGGACAAAACTGACCACAAAAGTTGACCGGCCAAAATTGACCACAAGGCAGAAGTACCTGCACATGAAAGTGCATTTTTGCTGTCTGAAAGTGGGGAGGAAAAGACTGAGAACATTATTTGTGATTAAGCTCTATGATGCTACTAACACAAAAGTTTGTTACTTCTGCAGTGAGGCACAGCAGAGGCAGGACAGTTACCTGGATTTGGACTTCCTTGTGACGGAATCTTTAGAGGACAACACGTGCAGCTAATTATTAAAGGAACAATAGGTACTAGGCCCCAAACCCTATTGCTGGAGACACTGTAATTATTTCTTTTCCCCTCATAAGCATGATGCATGATCTCTACTGTATTTCTGTCTGTATACTGAACTATGATAGAAGAAGCCTTTAAGTGTTCCCTAAAGGATACAGTGATTTCCCTTTATTCATACTCATTAAAGAGGAGGTAAGCAATAGATCATAAGATGTTAAATAAATGCTAAATAAAAGAAACAGACTGTCTGAACGATGATATGACATTGTCTTCCATAAACAGTTCTCAAAGCAAATCAGCTGATACAGACAGTTTGGGACCAGACATTTCTGCTGACGTGCAACAGTGTACAAGAAACCTTCCATAAAGCTCTTCTCCTGAAGTTCGTTACTTTCATTAGGTTACATTTATTATGTATAATTCCTTGCACAACGGGTCCAGTTTATGGATGAACCTCTATCAAAACTTTAAACTCATAACTGTTTATTAACAACTGCTTATTAAAAAGTGAAGGAGGAGAGCCAAGTTAAGCTGCTTTCACTCTGGTAAGTCACAGAACAAACAACTCTTAAAGCTCTGTCAAATTCATTACAAGCAATAGACAAAATAAAGTAAGCAGTCCTGCAGTGCTCACATGGACACAAGGCACGCACTGCACTCCTGAGCTAGCCATACTGTCAGGCTTTGCATCCTAGAGACCATCTACAAAAGCCCCAACACCAGTCACGTTAGAATCACATACAGGATGCTCCTAGGTGTTAGTGCAAGCAGCATTACCATGCTGGTTTTAAAATTTTGCCTTTTAAGACCTACTGTCTTGTACAAATACTACTTGTAAATATTCCATTTACAGTCCAAATGGCTAGGCACGTGCCTACTGTATTTTTCCCACACAAATGGGAAAGACTTTTAACTAATTAAAATATTGTTAAAAGAGGAAAACAGACAAGCAGTTTTCATTTGAAATATACATGAGTTAGTATGTGCTTGCTCTAAATACACCTATTTTTATTTCAGATAATGCATAGAAAAACATATATTGTACTATTGAGAAAGAGTGGTATAGCTGATAGCAGAAATCCACAGGACACCATCTGCACTGTACCTTCTATATAAAGATGTAATTTTAAATAATTTGCTTCTGATCTGGTGCTAATACATTTTTGTAACTTCTACAAATCCAGATTAAAAAAAAAACACATACACAGAGGCGCAAAAAAAAAAAAACTTACTGTGAGAGGATGAGATTTTTCATCAAAAATATCCAATGATCTGTCTGAATCTCTGCAAAGCAAAGATCTGTTTTAACACCAAGATTTCATTGGAATGCTATGCTCCATTAGAAAGTGTTATCCATTGAAGAATAAAGGAACATTTTGTATAGCTCTTCCTAGAACAACAGATAAAGCTATACTGCATTTTTGCAAAGCATTTAATGATGAGACCTTACAACCGAATATTTAACAAGATAAACAATGAACCCATGTTCTCACCAGTAAGTCCAACCAAATTTCCAAATACAGAAGCCGTCGCTTATACTCAGCGCACTTCTCCGTTAAAATGTGACACCATCTCATTCATTTATTTATAGTTTTAGAAAGGCAGCTGCAGCTTGAAGCGTGTGCTGTAATTAGCTGTAATGGCAGTGGTTATTTGTACACAGGACATGGGGTTCCTTCAAACATCAAAACTAATCTGTCCCTCTGTACTCAGGAAAAGCGAAACCAAATCTAAAGGCTGGTTTGCAGTGAGTTAAGTGTATCTCCCTCACTCTCTCTGCTTTGATATCTCACGCTTCTCTGTTGAAGAAGCATGTGCCTTTGGACAGGCTGACCATTATGTATCAGCTCAAGAGGGGTACAAAGAGAAGGCAGATACATCATCAAGTTTCCAGATTTTTTCAACTCCCTTAAGTTACAACTAGTTGTTACTGAAACACCATGGCCATAACCCTGGCTCAAAAATAAAATTGGTAAGTTTCAGAATAAAGCAACCCTGGAGTTTACTCACCTGTTCTTTATATGGTAGAATATTGCTAACGTTACGCTAAAAAGAAAAAGAGAGAAAAAGTCTTAAAGCACATTCTGTGCAGACTATTCCACTGCAGAAGCTGTTGTTCAGGGTAAACTGTTCAAAATTTGTTAAGTCTTCTCACTCTCTTCTAACTACCCCACACCACATTTCCGTTCTTCACCTGCCTGAACAGCATCTACCCAAATCAGATTTGCTAGCCAAACTGCTTTTAAATGTGGTACAGATATTTGTGCCATGAAAGAATTACACCAAATTTTACGCACGTACCTTCACTGTGATTAAGTGACATTTATTGAAAACACAGACTATTCACAACTGAAGTATGGTAACAGTCCTATTTGAGCTTACATAAACCCTTGTAGAGGCTCTGCTGGTATTTTAACTTTGCATCTCTGGCTATGTAGTTCAGGGTACGTCTAAGTCTAAAAACAGAGCAAAATAAAGAATGCCAGCATAATCCAAGGAAGATTCAGTCTGTGCTGAGTCAACTCAGACAATAAAGCTGACACTTATCTAATGTGGCCTGATTTCCTATTTTTGTAGTGACAACAGGAATACTGCCATCAAAGAAAGCCATCACGGACAAGCACTGATCAA